CCTCGTACATGTGGCGGGGGTGACGAGGGTCCCAAGTGGCATGACTGCGGAAGGAGCCTGAATGACCTAACACCGACAGAACGGCCAAATGGATAAACAAGCAAAAACAAAACATAAACTAAAAGAAACCTGCCCCAAGGAGAGGCAAATCAAATGTAAACATAGTAGCAAGCAGAGGTGTCCAAACCAATAGAGGGCAGTGGGGTCTTGCATGCAAGAGTGGCCACATGGCAATTTGCTAAGGGTTAGTTCTGGATAATTTTGACTGCCTTGTATGTGCACACATTTATGGAGGTGAAAAAGTCCTGTATCTTGGAGTGCAACATACTCTGGAAAAGCCCTCTCATTTGTGTTCTGCAACTTTCTTATTTCTTCCATTCTAATACAAGTTTCTTGCAAAATTGAAAAAAAAAACATTTAATTTAAAACCTAGTGTGTTGAAAACATCTTGTGTTTTACGCCTAATGGATTAGGAAAAGAAATGTGTACAAAATAAAAGACAAACTGATTACCATAATCTGTGATCTACTGATTATATTATTTTAAAAACTATTATACAATTAGAATTACAGTTTATCGTCTCCTGCTATCAGACGTAGGATACGTCACACAAATACAACTTGATAATGAACCTCTGAATACAGACACCAGATCATTATGAAGACGGAAAATTCTAAAAACATACTAAAAGATCAATAAATGCAATGCATTAAAATGTATAATAGTTTTTAAAATAATATAAATTTATAAACCTGAAGATGATGACATAAAACATCGAAACATGTCGTTCAAAAATAGAAGCGCTGAATAATGTAATGTCGTACTACGATAAAAAAGCGCCATAAATATAACATAATATACTTTATACTATAAATGTTATAATATTTTAACAACATCATTTTAAATAAGTTTGTGTATAGACTGTGAAAATAAATATGTGTACTTGAAAATGATGTCGGAGATGGCCCTCAAAATTTTGGCAGAGTTTAACCAAGTGACATGGCTGCTGGCCTGAGAAGATTTATTAAAGACATCCACCATGAAAGCTAACTCTCTATGAATTGCAGAGATGAATTCTGAGAAAAACCACTTCATATTACAGAAATATCAGTTATTCTGTACACTTTCTTACTACACCATCAGCCAGTAAGATACAAAGGAATTTTTGGAACACTTTCCAGGAGGAAAGTACATTTAACAGTAAAGAAAATTCTATACTAATAGAAATTATGTATAAAGCAGATCACAGAGTTACATAATTACTTCCAAAATTTCTATAAAATCAACAGGAACTGACATCATTAGCTGCAGCTGGCTATCTTGTCATGTACATTTGATTATATGGTAATAGAGGACTATTTTACCTCCAGCACAATTCATCTGAACACACAAGACAACATGAAAAACCTGACATGTTTGTTATTCAAATGCATGTGAATGAAGATTAGTATGTTTAATGGTTATTAAAGCTACCTTTCAGACAATGAAAAGTGAAATTTCTTGCTTGCTTTTATGTATCTTGTCTTCTTGTAAAGTGTCCATATGTATGTAACTTTTTACCAATGGTGTAATGTACCACATTATTTATTATAACTGTTTATCATTACTTAAAAGTAACGAACCATGAAATAATATATTTTATTTAACACAAATCTACTCAATAAAATGTCATATAATCCTTGAATTTTCTTATTCTTTAAAAATTAACAGCTTTTGCTAATGCTCCTCGTAACATAATCTTCTCAAGCTATAACCTATACCACAGGTGAATTGTACTCCCATTTGGAAGCTTTCCATGTCTCCAAAATGCTGGACTTCCATTCAACAACAATGTGGATTTCCCCCAAAATTATGGAAGTATGTCACCACAGAAGCTTCAAGTCTTATATAAGATCTTCAGTTTAGCAGTCTCATAAACGTATTTCAATATGTAACACTAATCTGTAGTACTGAATCTCTCAGTGGCTGTTGACCGTCCATTCACGCAGTGCCCTTAGAAGTAACTATCAATTTCATAACGTGTTCCTTGAGCAGCTAATAGTTGTTCACCTGGTCAGGACGTCCCTTACTATCACTGAAACTGACAATTTATCACTGTTTCCAAAAGCCCACTGCTGGACCATAAGTGGTTTGCCATTGCCTTCTTCTGTGTGTGTGAATGGAGTAATTGTTGGGATGCCACGGAGGAAAACTCCGTGTTGCCTAGACCACGGCCTTGCCCAACACAAGTTATAAATTCGGGCACCGCCGGGAATCCGGGAATCGAACCCGAGACCCCAGGATTACAAGGCCAGCGTTCTAACCGCTAGACCACCGTGGCTCACGCTTTCATAACACAGTTCTCTAAGGTACATTTCAGCATTAAACTAATGTTTCAGCTGATTGATTAGTACACCAACTTTATGTTGAGAAGATTCCATGATCAAGTTTTGGTCTAGAAGTTGAATATACCAAGATTTTCATGGATTTCTTAGCCCCCACAAGGCAAATACTGGAACAATATTTAAAAAGCCATGACTGCGATCTTCCTAATTCATAATCATCCTTCTGTATAATTTATAAAGTACTATATAAACTAAAAAACAATATTATATTTCTATTTATGTCTATACTTAGCAAATAGTTCCTTCCCTTGTGATTTTACAATGTTTGCACATATTTCTTGCTTCCATCATGCAAGATACATGTCCTACTCATCTCATTCTTCTGACTAAATTATCATAACAATGTTAGCTCAACAACACAACTTCCAAAGCTCCTCATTATGTTATACTTATAATTTCCATTACTTTGTCTCTTTTAGGTCAAAATATTTTCCTCTGATCTTCGACACCCTCAGTCTATCAGAAATAAAGTCTCCATTACATGACAAGGTTTTTACTGAACACAAATGTGGAGATGATGGACAGCTCTGTGTCACACTGATGGGTGTTATAAAAGATACTGTCAAATACAAAAATCATGCATTCATATTAACTGTTCACAATTTGGAGTTCAGTAGCATCCAAAAGGGTGTGCAACAATACATGCCGGGTACCATGCAGACACAGTAGAATGCTAAGACATCCTTACTTATTACTGTACCTCTCTTGATGCGATCGCATGTATTGTAGTTGGAGCCTGGCACAGGCGGCAGCTTGCGGTTTGGAGGAGCGATGTAACCAAGCTCATCACGAAGATCTGGGCGTCGCTTATCCATTGTAGAGTTTCCACCAGCTGACTGGTTGTATACCACATCATCTGGAAATATAATTAGTAAGAAATGTGATGTTATGGTTGCATAAATATTTTGGTAATCTGTGCATAAATAATAAAAAAAACTGAATTAAAAATGTATTAATAACTAAGCAATAATTTTATTTTTATTTTCTTAGTAATGATTTATTTAATGAGCTGTTAGAAGCATAGACTATGTACTGCTGAATGATAAGAAACAACATTCTAAAGTCATAATCCTTCAATAAAATGACAAACATCTACCTGCATAAATAAACAAATTATAAAGCACATCAAAATAAAATTATATTCTGTTTTATACAGAAATCCAGATATAAAACCAACATAACATATTACCTCTGAGACGGGTCTGTTCAGGACCCCGAGACCGTCGTGACAGGGCCACACATATCACAACAACACCCACTATGATGACCACTACGGTCGCCCCTATAGGCACAACAATGTTGAGGTCCAACCACTCTGGTACCCAGGGGAAATACTGGTTAACTGATGTGTTATCTTGTTCAGGAGGTGCAATGGTTCCTACAACATATAGATGATGCTTACCTTTCTGATGTGAACTCTTTCCACGTAACACACAGATCACCACAACTGCTAAGATTATCACCAGAATAGCTGACGCTACAGGGACCACAAGTTTCAGATTTGAAAGGAAGATGTGAATTGGGGAATTGGCCCCTTGTTCAGGGATCTCACGTGCTGGAGCAATAGTACCTGCAACACCGAACCAGAAAAAAACGAACATCAGTAGTCAATTTTGAAATGCCCTGCGTTGAGGTACTACTGCTCGGCATGTGGGTACATGTCAGATACTGCAACTGTTAGTGTGAACATTAATACTTCAATATTAGCAAACTGGTACCTGAATATGGCACTTTTATGGGTTGTTGTACCACATATTGTGGTAGAAGTTTACTGATATTTCAGAGATGCTTGCACCCTCCATCATCAGGGTGAAGAGTAATCACCCTGATGACAGAGGTAGCAAGCACCTCAGAAATGTGAGCAAACTTCTACAACAACTCAGAAGAGTATGAGAAAATGAAATCTCACTGATTCCAACCACTTTGCAGCAATTCACAAAGCAATATACACTGCCTGATCAAAAGTATCCGGACACCCCTCCGTAAACGTAAACTCGAGCCTAGATATCACTACGACCGCCGCCGCTGCTATAAAAGGAGGCAGAGGGCTCGATGTTGTTCAGTGCTACGCGATACCGACAGAATGGGTGGAGCAAGGGAGCTCAGTGACTTCGAACGTGGTATGGTTATTGGTTGCCACATCAGTATGCAAGCCGCTTTCAGTGGTGTAAAGAGCGCCGCCACTGGGCTGTGGACGACTGGAGACGCGTGATTTGGAGTGATGAATCACGCTATACCATGTGGCAGTCCGATGGGAGGGTTTGGGTGTGGCAAATGCTAGGTGAACGCTACATGCCGGCCTGTATAGTGCCCACAGTGAAATTCGGCGGAGATGGGATGACAGTGTGGGGGTGTTTTTCATGGAAGGAACTTGGTCCTCTCGTAATACTACGGAGCACATTAAAGGCAGAAGGATATAAGGACATTTTGACCAGCTGCGTGTTGTCTATGGTAGAAGACCAGTTCGGAGATGATAACTGTGTGTTTCAGCATGACAATGCTCCCTGCCATAAAGCAGGGTCTGTTCGTGACTGGTTTGTGGACAATAAGGTTCCGGAAATGGACTGGTCAGCCCAGAGCCCCGATCTAAATCCTATTGAACACCTCTGGGATGAACTAGAAAGGCGACTGCGCACCAGACCCCAACGACCCACATCACTAACTACGCTTGCTACAGCGTTGCAGGAAGAATGGTCGGCCATTCCCCCGGCGACGTTCCAACACCTGGTAGACAGTCTCCCCCGCAGAGTTAGAGCTGTAATAAATGCCAAGGGTGGGCCCAGCCCGTATTAATGTCCACTACTGGGCAGTAAATCCGAGGGACACATAGAGGACAGTTTCGCGTAGGTGTCCGGATACTTTTGATCAGGCAGTGTATATTATTTAAGCTCAAATAACATGCATCTAATTGGCAGATTCTGTTCACATTTTCAGAGTTCATCTTGCAACATGCCAAGTAGGGCTAGAGAAACCTGCTTTCCTATCGGGGGATCCTGCAAGGCAGATACTTCTACCTCTGATAATTGCCCAAATGTCAAGCAAAGAGAATCAACACTTAACCTCATGGGTGTCTGGTATCAGCCACATGAATAATCAGTACTGAAATTATAAATTGATCTCCCTTCCAAAGTAATTTATTTAAGATGCATGTTCACTAACATATTTCATCTCTTTCAGAACTAAACCTGCACATCTACTGTTAATGACACTTTTCAAGTTCAAGTCCTTTATAACAAACTCACATACCTCTGTTAGACTCCTTAATTGTTAAAAATAACACCAGAAAGTTGGTTCAGATACAAAAGGCCTAGGTTCTTTTTAATTAAATAATTTCACAGTGACTATGAAGCAGTCTAAACATTGCAACTATCACAAATTTAAACACATTTAGATGACATAAAAATTTTAAAATTAACTGTAAATTATATTTATTTCATCCAGCTATGTTCAGCATGGTTATGAGTCAAAAAAATTAAAATATATTACATTAACTCTAAACTAAAATTTACCCGCAGTACCGAACAGCTGAGTGTTAATGTTTTCAAGCTCTGAAGATTCCTAGCATTGTACCTGTCATTAATAACGGTAACACATTACCTCCAGTTATGGTAAGTGTGGCAAATTCATATTCTGCAACAGCAAATCCAGCATTATTGTGTGCGGTGACACGCAGATGGTACCAGTTGGCAGGGTCCAGGTCCAGTACGACAAAGTTTCCACCAGGCTTCACATTGTTGGACACCTGATTCCATTCTGTCTGTAGTCTGCAACAGTGTGGACACTAAAATCTCTTCACATTCCTACAAACTACAGACTGTTGCAGTTCCTAACTGAGGATTTTTGTAATTTTCTTCAGCTCCTCCAAACAGGACACATTTGTCTCCAAAGCATAATCATTCTGTCATCTGTCATTTCTTACTAAGTAACTTGTGCAGATGACAATGTTGTCATCAAAAAACACAAGACAAAGTTTTAAAACAAAGACCAATGTCAGCCATTTTATAAGACATCTCATACCATTTTTAAAACACTATTATTCCTTTCACTGACTGTGTTTTTAAAAACAAAGTTCATCAGAGAAACATATTTGGACCTAGGACAGATAAAAGTAATGACTGGCTGGAGAAAATTAAATGAAGAGCTTCATAATAATTTGTAATTTTTACATAGTATTGTTAGCATGATTAAACTAGGAATTATGAAATGAGTGGGATATACAGAATGCAAGGTAAAAATGAGAAATTCTTACAAAACTTTAAACTTTGGCCACAACACCTCAGGGGAAGAGACCTCTTGTTAAACCTCAAAAATAGTATTCAAATACATCCTACATGAAAATGCATATAAGATTTTACTGACTCCACTGGAGGGATTTGATGAACATGGTGCTGGACCTCACAGTTCTACAGATGCATGGAATTTGACCAGGTGAGTAACTAAGCATGAATCTGTAACGTGGAATAAGATTGTTAATACTTTCTTCACTGCTAGTGGAATGGTGATCACTGATATATGTATAAACAGAAGAAAAGCTGTAGGCAGTCCACGGTGTTCTCCGAGTGCCTAATTTTTACACTAATCTTATTCTGCATTCCTATTTTCTTGAAGAAGGCTGTCTTCTAGAACGCTGTATACCGACTCCATGATCAGGGTCACATACTCCTCTGAAATGTAGGTCAATATCTGAGACTACCTGATGCGACATCCGAGAAAACAGCCATCTTTGTGATTTTTAGAAACAAATGAACTTACATTATGGCCAAATATGCAACACCAATAGTCTCATTTCTGATGCGACATCCGAGAAAACAGCCATGTTTGTGCTTTTTAGAAACAAATGAACTTACATCATGGCCAAATACGCAACACCAACAGTCTCATTCCTGACAGACATCATATTTAGCACAGACTAGTCTACAAATGTAAAGACTACTTACTTCTTCTTGTGTTCCACAACAAAGTAAAGCATAGGGCAGCCCCCATCAGACCATGCACTCAAGTGTAGTGTGATGCTATTGGTAGAAACCTCAATGAAGCGACCTGCCTCTGGGATCACGGGTTTGGAGCCTTTAGTACGTGTGTTCAAAATGTCTGATGGTTCTCCTGTACCAATGCTGAAACAGAAATAATTCTGTTTGTATGCAATGTACAATCATTAATATAATCAGTGGTTAACATCGACCAGACTACACAGCGCAATAACCCAGAAGACAGAAATCTTCATATTCACCGCTGTGAGAACCTCAAGTCTTACATCATTAAAACAATTCATCCAAATCTTTAACGTTTCCATTAAACATTTGATATTTCACATACATAGCTTAATTAGCTTTTGGTTTTAATTACCTATTGTATCCTGTAACATAGACTTGGTAACGTGATCCACACCATAGGTTCTCAACTGTATACTTCTGAGCTTGATTTGAGACTTGCACAGTCTCCCAATCTCCAAACTCAGGTTTGTAATGAACCGTGTAACCATGCAGAGGGGCTGTATCAGTAAAATGTGGGCGCAACTTCATGGTAATTGAGTTGGTTGTCATTGATGTTAGGGATACCTGTGGAGAGTGTGGTGGAGCTGCCAACAAAATAAGTTTAATTGTAAGGTGACATCCCACATTATCTTATAACTAAAACACTTTACATTTACAATTCAGTAATACGCCCGTTACATCCAACAATAAACAAAACATATAATTCTGCCATGAAATCACAGATTTTAAGAATTGTATGAATTATTTATTAATAATTAACAAATTAGGGTACAATTTGGCCAAAAACAGTATTAGCTATTCATTATCGTCAAGCTGTCAAGAAGGTGAGCCATTTATTAACATAGTGATGTTTGAAAAATCTAGTCTCTTTAATAATTCCAATTGTAGAATATTATAAGATATTGTAGGTGCGTCATACAAGAAAAAATGAAGAAATGATAAGAAAATTAAAAATTAGTAATTGAATTAGAGTTTATAACATACACCTGATGACGGCTCTATGAAAGCCGAAACATGTCGAGAATGTTCCATATGTAAATCAAGTACTCGATACGGAACAAAGGATAATATTTTAACCATCTAATTATCTTATATTACTTTATTGTGATTGACGGACAATTTTAATATATTTTAATACTATTGTAGAATATTATTTGCATTGTGCTATGTGAGACAGATAGGGTACTGGTTCTCTCAGAATCCACCGTTGTTTGACCAGTCCATGAATTAGAAACAGTTAAGAACTGCTGTCAAATGGGATGGAGCAGCTGAAATAAAACTAGATTTTGCTTTAGGTATCAACAATAAACAAACTACACACTACCATGAACAATAAGCTGGTGAGTGACTGTGTCATGTCCAAATGAATTTTCCACTGAGCATGAATATTCTCCAGCATCCTGACGTGTCACAGACTTGATGAATAGTGAGCCATCAGGCAGTTGGCGGATGTGATCATCCTGTTGGAAGGCGACACCCTTCACCTTCCACTGAATGTCTGGAGCAGGAATTCCCACGGCAAGACATGGAAGCTTAACATCTTCCTTGTATGTTGCCGTGAATGAGTCATCGAATGAAGCAATCTTTGCAGGAACTGGGAAATTAAAATACATGACAATCAGACACTGGCAACTTTAACACTTTGTTTGTTATAATATGCCAGAACAGCTGTATGGGCAATATGTTCTCAGATAATATGTCTATGAACATTTTGCCCACTTTTCATTCTGTTGAATCAACTGTTTCTTCAAGATAGTTCTCTTCTGGGTTGTGGAGACCACATGGCACTACAACCCAGAAGACAGCTATCTTCGAACTCACCACCATGAAAACCTCAAATCCTAAATATCTGTAGGAATCTACAAAGTGCAGTGGTAATATAATATGTTGAATCAAGATCATGTTAACATATCAAGATACAGTGAAACCTCGATGCATCGTTTTCGGTGGGGGTGGGAAATAAAAACGATGAATGCGGGAAAACGATAGATGCGGGAAAGCATTAAAAATTTAAAAAAAAACAATGTTTCTCTTTCAAAGTTACTTCTTTTTACCAAAAAAGTCTTTAATGGACAACTGGTTTGTCGAAACTTTACGTTTTAGACCAAACAGAGCACTTTCCACGTTCAAAAGGTTTTCCTCGTCACGTTCACTAATACTATGCGCATAAAAGAACGACTTCACTTTCGCCAATGCAGCGTGTGCTTCGGCAAAACTCGGCAAAGCTTCGGGCTCGCATTCGTCGTCTCCCTCTTCCTCACCACTCCAACCCCCTTTGCGGACAATAACAGGAAGAATGGAAATACTATTACTGCCGAACTCAACGAAACGTAGCTGTAGAAGAC